CCCTGACTGCTGCCTTAACCTCCCCCGCCCGCATGGACGCCGCCGCGCAGGGCGTCCCCGACCGGCAGGACGCGGTCCCCGAGGAAGGGAAGCTGGATGACTCCCTGGAGCGGCCCGACCCGCAAGGCGGCGACGCGGCGGGAGGGCGCGCTGCCGGCCGACGAGTACCTGTACGGCGCGCCCGCCTTGGGTGCAGGCCTGGCCTTCGGGCCCTCCGCCTTCCCGCCCCACGGGGTCATGCTGCAGACCGGGCCCCCCTACACGCCGCGGCCGGCCGGCCACTTCCCGCCCAGGGCTTACTCCTCCCCGGTGGCCGCTCCCCACCACCCCGCAGCGCAGCCCAACGGCCTCTCCCCGGAGGGGCCTGTCTACCGCTGCCAGGAGGAGGGCCTGGGGCACTTTCAGGCCGTGATGATGGGGCAGATGGGCCCGGGCGGCGCCGTGAGAGGTCCTTTCCAGGACGCCTACAGACCAGCCGGGTAAGACTGCAGCTCCTGCCTTTTGCGTTGTATCTTTTTTTTTTTCCCTTAATTAAAGAGCAAGTCAGGGCCAGCAGGTGGCCTGGTGGTTGAGGCGCTGGACTCTCACATGGCCAACCATGATTCAAGTCCCAGACCTGGCAGCTTCAGAATGGGGCCAGAGCGTGTGTGTGCCCAAAACCCTGAGGGAATCAGGACAAGGGACTGCGCGGCCATGCCCCCAGGGGATGGTTTCCCACTTTCTCTCCCTGTTTCTGTTTCTAGCAAGTGTACGCACTCTGTGGCAAAAACTGTTAAAACAAAAGGCAAACTGACATTTAGATGTTTGATTGGATTTTGATATTATAAGCTCAGTGACCCCAGCCTGAGGCCGGAGGCAGAGGCTGTCACTTTGCTATCGTTCAAACACTAACCAAAGCAGAATGACTGCCCCGGGCTGGAGCAGAGTGCGTGTATTCTGGTTTTACTCCACGGCGCTCTTTTCCCTATCACTGAATTTAAGCTTTCCCAGAACTGCACGAGTCATGCACCATCCCTGGGAGACCTCCTCCTGACTAGTTGTGGAGTGATCTGTGTTAGTTAGGCCCAGTGAGGGCCTCCCATCCAGGGAGACTTTACATTAACAAGATGAGAAAGCGGTTAGATGAGCTTCCTTATAAGAGAGCCGTGAAGTCTCATCGTAACACTGGTGCTGTCAGCTTAAAAACCAGCCGCCGGGGTTCAAACCACAGTCGGCCATGTGGAATTTGGCTCCCTAACCCTTAGGCACCAGTGCCATCCTGTCTTACCACTCAGTCTGCTCCTTTAGCATTTTACCACATGTGCTATAGAGTGCATGCGATCGCTAGAGAGACGGGAAGAAAGAAATCACCCTTTGGGGAAATGGCCACCACAGCCCCTTCTCCATTCTCTTGGGATTTTGGGCACGTGCACACACACACACACCCGGTGTGAGTCTTAAGCCACTAGGTCTGGGATGCAAACCACAGTCAACCATGTGGGGGTTCAGTGACGTAACCATCTGCTGGTCCCACCTTACTGTTTTTTTAAAAACATTATTTATCTGTTTATTGCCGGGGTCCAGCTTCAGCGGGGGGTGGGTTGACTCGTCGGAGGCGGCGCAGGTGAACAGAAGACAAAGTCCTCGGTGCCTTTTTCATGCACGTCCTTAGCCGGACACCCCCCCAGAGATCGCTCTCTGAAGAGTGACAACTGCTAGAAATCATCGTGCGTTTTTATTGAAAATGTGATACATGCAAGTAAACAGGAGAGGGGCTACGTGTTTCAATTATTAGCTCATAAAGTTTTTAACAATAGAGAACATAGATTCTATTTAGGGTTGGATTAAGGGTGGGTCTAGGGCAGTTCCGCAATTGTTCCGTTTGATGTAAGTGGGTCTCCATGGAATGCAGTTTCGGGAAAGTGGCTCCAGCAAGCAGAGGTGATTATCAGCTGATGCAGTGCAGCAGCCATCTTGTGATTACCGGGAATGGTGCTGAGAAAAGAAAAT